TCCCCTGGAACTGGAGTTACAGTTGTGAGCTGCCATGTGGGTGCTGGGAATCGAACCCAAATCCTCTGGAAGAGCAGTCAGTACTCTTAACCACTGAGCCATCATCTCTCCAGCCCCTAGATTTTAAATTTTTATTGTATTTTATTTCTTTTGTGTGTGTGTGTGTGTGTGTGTGTGTGTGTGTGTGTGTGTGTGTGTACAGCATGAGTGTGGAGGTCAAAAGACAATTTATAGAAGGCAGCTCTCTCCTTCCAGCATGTGGGGTACAGGGATTGAACTCAGGTCCTAGGAGTTTGGGCCAGAGACCTTACCGACCTTACCATCTTGCTGCCCTGCGTCCTTGTTTCCACAGAATCTGGTTTATTGACCTAAGCTGTCTGTTCTGGAGCTCACTCTGTAGACCAGGCTGGCCTTGAACTCACAGAGATCTGTGGGCCTCTCCCCCGCCAAGTGCTGGTGGGAATAAAGGCATGAACCACCACACCCAGCAGAGAGGGCACTAAAGATGGCTGAGACAAGTCTTGTCAGTCTTTCTCAGAAGAGTTCTGCTGGTGGCTGTTCATCAACAAACCAATTTATTGGTCAGCTAGCCTGAACTAAGACCCTCCGTGTGTATCTTCCAACACTGGGGTTATCTTAGTTAGGATTACTATTGTGACCAAAAGTTGGGGAGGAAAGGGTTTATTTGGCTTACACTCCACATCATTTGTTTATCTTAATTGAGGTCTCCCTCCTCTCAGATGACTTTAGCTTGTGTCAAGTTCACATAAAACTACCTGGCACAATTGACTCCTTGTTAATTTGACACACAAACACATCACTCACAGTTAAGCCGTTACCTTTCCTTTCCTGTTCATCCCCAAGATCACACATTGATCTCAATATCACAATATAAAACATTTTACAAACTTAAAAAGTCTCACAGTCTTTACAAATTCAAACACTGTCAATTCACTCTCTTCAAAAATCCATAGTCTCGCCGGGCGGTGGTGGCGCACGCCTTTAATCCCAGCACTCGGGAGGCAGAGGCAGGCGGATCTCTGTGAGTTCGAGGCCAGCCTGGACTACCAAGTGAGTTCCAGGAAAGGCGCAAAGCTACACAGAGAAACCCTGTCTCGAAAAACCAAAAAAAAAAAAAAAAAAAAAAAAATCCATAGTCTCTTTTAAAAGCTAAAAATCTCTTCTAAAATTCAGCCTTTCAACTGCGGGCTCCTGTGGAATAAAAAAAAAAATAAGTTAAATACCTCCTTACTTCAAGAGGGAAGTTTCAGGGTACAGTCACAATGAGATCAAAGCAAAACCAAATTCCAGTATTGTAAATCATTCAATGTCCAGTATCTGGGACTCACTCACAATCTTCTGGACTCCTTCAAGGGTTACTTCTCTGGCTCTGCCCTCTGCAACACACACAGCTTGTCTTCTAGGCTCTGGCAGGCTCCACTCCACAGCTGTTGCTGATTTTGGTGGTCATCCCATGGTACTGGCATCTCCAAAATGCTGGATCTTCTGCTACAATTGAACTGCACATTCACCAATAGCCTCTCCTGGGCTCTCTTCATGGTGCCAAGCCTCAACTTCTCTGCATGACCCTTTCAGTCCTGAGCCTTCAACTGCTACTCTGACTGCACCTTCACCAATGACCTCTCCTGGCTTCTCCCGGAGCCAAGCCTCAGCTGCTCTCCATGGCCCCTTCATGCCTTCAAAACCAGTACCACCAGGGTGACTCTTACACTACCACACAGCTTCTGTGTGCTAACTCACAGGAGTCACTTGCAGAAGATTTCACCTCAGTAATGCTGGTCTCGTCTTAATCATCACTAACTTCTCAGCTCCAGCTAGCCAGCATCAATTGTCCCAGTAAAGCAAAGGTTTCACTTTAATGGTGCTGGTCTCTTGTTAATCACTGCTGACTCCAGACACATTTGATCAGAACCACAGACTTTTAATTCAAATAGCAAATATGCAATGGTCCTAGTAGTCTTTAAGAAACTCTCAAACCTCCCCCTGAAATGTCACAAGCCAGGCCTTCATCATCTGTAGGTTTTGTTTTGTTTTAAAGTTCATCATCTGTAGGTTTTGTTTTGTTTTGTTTTAAAGTTTTTTTCAAGATAGAGCTTTTCTGTATAACAGCTCTGGCTGTTACAGAACTTGGTTTGTAGACCAGGCTGGCCTCGAACTCACAGAGATCTGCCTGCCTTTGCCTTTCAAGTGCTGAGATTAAAGGCGCACACCACCACACCCAGATCTCCATTTCTCTCAACACTCTTATCTTCCACGATCCCATAGAACAGCTCATCAAACCTTGAATACTCAATGGCTTTTCTTGCCCAGGTTTCCAAAATCCTTCCTTAATCCTCCCAAAAACAACATGGTCAGGTCTGGCACATCGATACCCCGACTGTGGTACCAATTTCTGTCTTAACTAGGGTAACTACTGTGGTGATGAAAGACCATGACCAAAAGCAAGTTGGGGAGGAAAGGGTGTGTTTGGCTCACACTTCTACATCACTTGTTCATCTTAATTGAGGTTCCTCTCAGCTATCTTTCGCTTGTGTCAGGTTGACATGAAACTATCCGGCACAGACAGGGTTGTTCACCAGAGGAACAAACACCAGAACAGAAAATTAGCAGTGTTGGCCTTGTAGATCCAGACATGCCAGAGCCACACAGTGGTGGTGACTGAAGGGCTCTGTCTGCCTTTAGATATGGCTTCCTTGCTGTAACACACTAATATCTACAAGCCCCCGTGTGTGTGTGTGTGTGTGTGTGTGTGTGTGTGTGTGTGTGTGTGTGTGTGTGTAGGCCAGAGGTCAGTCTTTCATGTCATTTCTCAGAGACTTATCACTTAGGCGAGGACAGTTGGCCAGGAAGCACCAGGGAGCTGTCTCAGCCTCCCTCAAAGGGGCTTGCAGATGCACACTACTGTGCCAGCTTTTGTCACGGATATGAAGGTGTGAGTGTCAAAATGTGCTTACACGGCAAGCGCTTTCCAGGCCAAGTTATTTCCCCCAGCTCTGAACACTAGTGTTTTAACATGGGAACCAGGTATTTAAAGTCTAGAGGTCAGGGGCTGGAGAGACGGGGTGAAAGTGACAGCTGGTCTTGAAGAGGACTGGAGTTTGGATCCTAGCACCCACAACAGGCAGCTCACACTGCCTGTAATTCCAGTTCCAGGGGATCCGATCTCTTCTTATGGCCTCTGAGGACTCTCTCTCTCTCTCTCTCTCTCTCTCTCTCAAATTAAAAAAAAAATATATATATATATATATTGGTTTTTCGAGACAGGGTTTCTCTGTGTAGCTTTGCGCCTTTCCTGGGACTCACTTGGTAGCCCAGGCTGGCCTCGAACTCACAGAGATCCGCCTGGCTCTGCCTCCCGAGTGCTGGGATTAAAGGCGTGCGCCACCACCGCCCGGCAAAAATATATTTTTTAAATCTAGAGATTAGGATGTTGCCTTTTGAAAACAGGAAGAACTCTTCATGGCAGGCTAGGCTCTTTCACAGGGACAACTGGCTGGTGCAGTATCTCAGCAGCCATTGAGACGTGCCTTCTCTCATTATCACGGAGAGAGCCCCATGTCCCCATGGTCTCCCGACCCATGAGGCAGATAGGAACCATCATCTAATGTCACCTACAATAGGATGTATTGCTTGGACACTGTTCTAACCACCTTGGCGAACCATTCTTTTATCCACCCACCTACTCATCTGTCTCTCAAATGTAACAAAAAGAAAGCACGCTAGGACCAGTCTTCAAGGTCTCTGCCTCAAAGCTCTCCGGGTTTTACTTCTGACCACTCAGTTGTATCACCTGGCAGTGAGTTTATTTGGGATGGTGCGGGAGGAGGTAAGATGCCCCAAATCAAATGTAACCACAGTGAACGGTTGTGGTACCAGAGCCTCTTGTCCAGGACACTGTGTTTCGTTTAATTAGAGAAGGGGCCACATCAAAAACAAAACAAAACAAAAAAAAAAGGTGATTTTTGTAGTTTAAAGATCAACCACTGCAGCCAGGTTGAACCCCTGCATGAGGCCATCTAAGACCGGTGCAGATGGGGAGAGAGCAGAATGGTGTCGCCAGACCTGGGGCAGACCAGACAAGCAGGCTAGCTGCTGCAGAGGCTGCTTGCTGGGGCTCCGGGCTTGCTTCTGATACCAGGGGGAGGGAGACTAACCTGGGTATTGGGGTCAGGGAGGTGGCCATAAGGTGTCTTTTGACCAGTGTGGTGTGGGATGAAGGCATTCCTCCAGGAGTCCTGCTGGACTTCATTCATGGCTTTCACAATAGAAGAAAGTAGGTTTTGTAACCCCCGTCTCCCTACGGTGCTGGCCTGACTGTTTACTTCTGCCTCAGTCCCTGAGCCTGTGAGCAAATACTGCAGGCACTGTTAACGAGCAGAAACTTGAGACAGAGCTTATCTTGTAACGCTGGGGTTTGCATCACACGCAGGGCGTGGCGCTGTTTTAGAAGGCAAGTTAAATAATTACGTGTTTACAGATTGAGCAAACAGCCTGTGTGGCCCAAGAGGGCTCCGGCTCTGCTCCTTGAATGCCAAGTGAACCAACTTGTTCAGCTGGGTGTGGGGTGGGGGCGGGGGTGGGGGGGGAGACTCAGAACTTGGAGGCATCAAATGGTTTCAATATGATATATATTGATATGATATATATATATATATATATATGTACATGTATGCTTACATACATACAAACATTTTTAAATATATGTGTGGGCAGACATTGAACATCTATGTATCACCTTGTATTGAAGCGTACCTATTGATAAATTAAGTATCTACGAAATAGAGTAGGCAAGCTTAGAGATGTTCTGTGAGTCAACTAAGGTTAATTTAACAAGCCCAGGTTATTGACCCATCTGTGTACCATCTTTATATATATTAAATATACTACTTTATGGTTTTGGTGTTTCCTACATGAACGGCAAATTGGCAGACGTTCATGCTACCGTCATCAGGGCCATCATAAGCTTCACTGTTTTTAAAATTTTTTAAATTTTAACTTAATTCATTTGTGTATTTTGTGGTCTGTGTGAGTGTATGGTGTATGTGTGCAGGTAGCCAAGGGAGCCAGAAGCAGGGCTCGGATCTCGAGTCACAGGGAGTTGTGGGCCACCTGATGTGGGTGCTGGGGATGGAACTCAGGTCCTCTGTGAGTGCTCTTACCCATGAGCCATCTTTCCAGCCTCTGAACTTCAGTCTTTAGGGGGAAAAACACCAACAAACAAAGTTATGTGTTCCATTCTCTTACTTTAATGTTCTTTTTCCTGGGAGAAGGGATGGAACCATGTTTGATATTTGTGTTGTGGTGGTGTTGTTGTTTCAAGAGACAGGGTTTTGCTGTGTTGCCAGTCTGGCCTCAGACTCTTTTTTTTGTTTTCTTTTTTGTTTTCTTGAGACAGGGTTTCTCTTTGTAGCCTTGGCTATATTGGAACTTGCTCTGTAGACCAGGCTGGCCTCAAACTCACAGAGATCTGCTTGCCTCTGCCTCCCGAGTGCTAGGATTAAAGGAGTGAGCCACCACCACCACCGGTCACGGCCTCAGACTCTGAAGGCTGATGCAGCCCTACTGTCTCGGCCCCCTGAGTAGCTGGGACGACAGGTGCCCAGCTATATGGTGTTTTTTTTGTTGTTGTTTGGTCGGTTGTTCTGGTGGTACCGAGGATCAAACCCAGGTGCTCAGGCACGCTGACTCCATTTCTCAGGCTGTCAACTTTTGTCAGGAAGCAGTCGTAAGAAGCCTTAGTCATGAGCCCTCGCCCACTCCCCCACCGGCTCCCTTTCTTTGCTTTATTGCTCGTAGATGATTTCTCCCTGTTCCATTTTTGCTTGTTTTCAAGGACAGCGCAAGCCGTGAAAGTTATCTTCTGGCTGTGCTGGCTGAGGACTTTTTAAGCCTTCTTGAAACGGGGCCGTCACTCATCCTCATGGCTTGATGAGAGACCAAAAGGTGGCGGCTCAGGTGCGGCTCTCTCCTTCCCTCCTCAGCTCAGCTTCTGTGAACTTCGTGGGAAGGGCTTTAGAATTATCTGCATAGGGGGGCCAATGCCCCTGGTGTTCTTGGAAGTGGCTTCAGGGCGCAGGTGTTGGGCCTCCTTTGCAGTGACTTTACATGCCACGTTTCCACTGTCATAGTAGTTTTGTGGACCAGGCTTCCCTGTGGAGTGAGGAGACGATAATTCGGGTGACTCTGCTTCCCTGTCCCTGCCAGAAGGGTTCGACAGCTTGACTGTGGAGTCATGTTGCTGCTCCTCGTGGTATCGTCTCCAAAGTCTCCACATAGACTTTGAGCCAGGCCGGCATGCAACTTCCTGAAGGACTGCTTCCCTCCTCCTCGGAACGGGGAAGGCCACAGCTGCACCAGGATCCTATACCAGCCAGGTCTCACTTCCTTATTTATAAAGGGTGAGAATCAGACAAGATTGCCTCTAAGATCCCTTTTGTCACCAGCCAATGGGCTAAAGAAGACTAAAACACATGAGCAGGACATGCTGGTCTATACCTAACTTCCCAGCACTTGGGGGCCAGAGGCAGGAGGATTGCTGTGAGTTCCAGGCCAGCCATGAACATGATGCGATCCTGTCTCAAAAATGTAAGTGAGAAGGGTTTAAAAACGTGTCCACAGTGCATTTAAAGTGCTGCATGTGTGACTGGCACAGAGCAGTCCCTGTGGAAATGAGACGAGTCACTGCGATGACAGATTTTAGGACTATGGCCGGGAGGCTTGCAATAGATTAGATTCCCAGGAAGATGACATTTGCTGCCCTTCATGGGTGTGAAATCCCTGAAGTTGATGAAGGACTAAGAATGCCCAGTGCAACCAGAAGTGATGGGCAGCGTGTGGTGCAGAGGGGAAGGGTTCTTCTGGTGGGCAAAGCCCTCCACTCGTCGACGTCTATCACTTGATGCTGGTATATGTGTTTTTAATGAGGCTATCTCATTATCAGTATAGTCTTGTGACTTGGCCAGCCTTATTATCTCAAGGGCACTGTCATATGCTGTATCCAAAGACAGTATATAGATGACATATTGTGACTCCTGTTTCCCATAATAGATATGGGTGTGTCCGATAAGAACCCGGGATGAGCAATTCTTTCTCCATGACCCAGATATGGAGACCGACTTTGGTCTGCAGTTACTGTACAGTTTCCCAGCACCTGCCATTTCTGTGGTTCCGTATACATCTGGATTCCTGGCAGTCCCACCTCAGTTTAGGACTTCTCAATCTGGCTTCTCTAGGTCTCGGGGTATTTGTGAAGTCCTTGCAGTTCCTTACAGAACTGCACACGTATGGGTGTATTTCCATCAGAGCAATGCCAGCCAGAACAAAAGAGTAAAAGAAATGCAGCTGGGAATGGTAACGTACACGTATAATCACCGCACTGAGGCAGGGGGATTGCTCTGAGTTTGAGGTCAGCCTGAGTTACCAAGTTGCTCCAGGGCAACTTGGGCCACAGAGTAAGAACTTGTCTCAAAATGAAACAGCAAAGCAAAGAATAACAACAACAACAACAACAAAATGAATAAAACCCGAAACGGCACGAGGTGTTCATGAAGGTGTTCCAACCAGGGAGGGATTAACATGACTTTTGAGAGATTAAGAAATAACCCCAGCCCAGTGATCCCCAAATGCTTCTTTGCTCCCCAGCCACAGCCCTTCCTGCTCCACACACCCCGTTCCTCCCTTCCCAAGCGATGCCATGGTGTTCATGGTGTCAGCCAGCTGTCTGGGACAGAGCCCAGGGTGGCTGAGAGGTCTAAGCCGCTCCCATGAGGAAGTGTGAAGACTTGGCACTTTCTTTGTCCTTAGAAAGGGAGACTGTCCCCCCCCAACCTCCCCCCAACTTAAATGTCATAGGATAGTTTCCAGGGGAAGAAAAGAAAAACCGGCTTTAACATTAGCAGTTTAAGAGTGTAAAATAAGCGTTGCAGGGTGAGACTTAAAAATGTTGAATTAATTTGTTTTAAGGGAAAAAGGGCTGCTTTCCACTTCTGTTTGTGAAGAGTGACCCCTGGATGCCTGGTTTTGCCTCTAGGCTGGCAGGGATCACAGGACCACACCCTAAGGCGGCTCTTGGCGAGGTCAGTCACTCTTCCTCCTCTCTACTTTTCTTCCTGTTCATCCATTCCACCCCTCAAAACACCCCAACCCCTCTTCTCTCTCTCATTCACACACACACACACACACACACACACACACATTTTATTTATTATTATTATTATTATTATTATTATTATTATTATTATTATTGGTTTTTCGAGACAGGGTTTCTCTGTGTAGCTTTGCGCCTTTCCTGGAACTCGCTTTGTAGACCAGGCTGGCCTCGAACTCACAGAGATCCTCCTGCCTCTGCCTCCCGAGTGCTGGGATTAAAGGCATGTGCCACCATGGCCTGGCGGGTTAGGAATATCTTAAAGAGATACTAGCCACCATGGATCTATTTGGGGGAAAGGAAGTGGATTTTAGTCAAATGTGACTTTGAATATACAAAACGTCTCTTTTTAACAACGGAGACTGGCCTGGGAGATGGCTCTGGAGGTAAAATGCTTATCACATATTCGAGAGGATCCGAGTTTGATGCCCAGCACCCACATAAGCAGTCGCTGCATGTGTCAACGTCTGCAATCCCAGTGCTAGGGAGGAAGAGACAAGTGGATCTCTGGGGCTCCGCCGGCCAGAAAGCCTAGCTGAATGTGTGAGCTCCAGGTTTGGTGAGAGATGAAGTCTCAAAGCAACAACCAACAACAGTCTTTGGCCTACACATGCATGTATACACACTTGCACATGCACCTGCACACACATGAACACATCTGCACAGCAGGCTTATAGATATCTATCTAGACAAATAAATTGTGAAGCCTCTGCCGCTATTTAGATGAGGGAGTCCATTCGTTCAAGAGTTAATGTGCATAAGATGCTGGCATGCAATTCTAGAAACTTTCCTTTTGGTATGTGTCGTGTATGAAACAATCAACAACAATAATGTTTGGTCAGACTTCTGAAATAGAAAAGCTGAAGTGATTGGAGAAATGTACCAGGTCACCCACAGACGGATATTCAGTGTCACTCAAAATACAAGTGGTGGAGCCTGGCGGTGGTGGCGCACGCCTTTAATCCCAGCACTCGGGAGGCAGAGCCAGGTGGATCTCTGTGAGTTTGAGGCCAGCCTGGACTACAGAGCGAGAGCCAGGATGGGCACCAAAACAGCACAGAGAAACCCTGTCTTGAAAAACCATTAAAAAAAAAATACAAGTGGTGGGTCCGAGGGATAGGGTACTTGTTATGATACAGCACATGGGAGGCATTGGCAGTTTTGGACCAAGGTGCCCTGCAGCGGCAGACGCTGTCACCGTGATGGCGGCAGTGGTGGCGGTGGCTGGTGGCATGGCAGGATGGAATCACACCCCTGGCACACATGTCCACGGGGAAAAGAGTTTATTTTGGGAGGGGAGGGGAGGAGAAAGGAGAGAAAGAAAGAGATAGGAAAGTGAGAGAGAGAGAGAGAGAGAGAGAGAGAGAGAGAGAGAGAGAGAGAGAGAGAGAGAGAGAGGTGCGGGCTACCTCTAGCGAGAGGGGGAGAGAGGAAGAGGGGAGGGTTTTTTTCCTCTTAAGGGGGCTTTAAGGTAAGATGCTGTCAGGACGCTGGGTGGGTTTCCAAGGGGAGGGTCAGAAAACCAACAATACTGTTCAGCAGTCAAGTGCAACAGCAAACTGCCTCCATTGGATCTTCAAAGATGAATCTCAACATTAGTGTTGAACAAAGAAAACAAGCTTTAGGGATGCACAAGCTTCACTCTGTGTGTGGTGGTGGAGGGCGTGTGCCTAGCCCGTTATTAAGTGTGGGCACTTGTTTTTAGTGATCTGGAGAGAAATACAGGGTGACCATGCCGGGGACAACGTAAGTTTCAACTGTTTGTGCTGGTGACTGACTGGCTCTGTTGGTGACCTCTGGAGGCCTGGCTTTTTTTCTACAGAAAGCATATGCGGTTTTGTGACTATCCTGCCGCCGTCTAATGGGCTATGGGACTTCCTGGTAACCACAGCCTCACCCAGGTCCAGAGAGCCAAGTCTCTTCCATTTATGTGTGTGTGTGTGTGTGTGTGTGTGTGTGTGTGTGGCTTTTGGCATAGCTATAAATAAATAAATACATAACCAAAAATGCAGAAATGCTAAAAGAACGGTACCGCCAGCCCAATATATTTTCAGTATTTGCAATTTATCCTTCACGGTGTCTGGTGAATTCTTCTACCTCTGATCCCATCCACAGCCTACATTTGAAGTCCTGTGCCAATAGCCTGCCAGCTATGCCTCTGCATGGCCCCATGACTGGGCCCCAGTCATGGGCAGAAGGCCATGCTCCAAGCAGGCTGTCAGCCTGACTCTGAGAGGGCCTGAGAAGGCAAGTGCTCCTGACTGCTGTCCTTCCTCCCAGGAGGGTCCTCCTCCCAGGCAGGGGGATCTGTGGCTTCTCTTCGGCGACATAAGGCAGGCTCCAGACCATGCATGTGCCCTCCAACACAGAATAAAGACATTTTTACCTTCCCAGCCATCCTCCCTGGCCTCCAAGCAGGGCATTTAAGGTCAAACAGACTTTGAGTACACACCCTGTGCCAGCCAGGCCCCACCCAGGGAGAGAACTGGGGCTAGATATATGGCTACAGTTTAATAGCTCTGTAAAATGTCCAGCCATCTTACTATTTTTTTTTAAAAGCAGAAAATGTTCATCCCTAAGAAAAAGTTGCAAAGAGGCATAAACTACTTAAAATGGAAATCTATTTTACTTTATCAGAGGGAAATGGATGTTGTGTTAAAGTTGTTACTTGGGGCTTGGGGAAATTCCTGTGTAAATGGCTACAGAAGTTAATAGCTTCAGCCAATTAGGAGAACACTCTGGGAACCTTTTGAAGTCTGGTCCCTCCCGCCCCCCTCGTTTTAATATTCTATTAAGTTTTGTATACTCTAAAGCGTTCTCATTGTGAACCACTGGATGCTGTCACGAAAGAACACATTTATTTCGACAAATATACCCCCATGCAACCACAGGCTAATGCACATTTTACAGGATCAAAAGGCAAACAATAGAATTAGGCATCAATTTCAGGGACTCAAGAGCCGTAAATCCAGGCTTGCACCAGAGCCCTGGGCAAGGTTGGTAGGTTAGCCGGTTATGAATCCAATTTTCTAAGCTCGCTGAGAAGAGCTGAGGACAACTTCCCCAGACAAATGAACAAGAAGGAAAGTGTCTGTTGGTTTTCCTTTGCTCTTTCCAGATCCTGGCTAAGGGCATACTGAGCCAGCAGGTTTACCAGGAAGCTGTTGAGCATGCGCAGAAGCATTTTCTGCAGGATGCACTTCTTCTGGACCGTTGCCAAGGGTTTTCCATTCTTCTGTGGTAGGCGTTTCTTGAATGTTGTCGTGTAACCAAACAAAGAGCATTTGCTTAAAGGGTAGAAAATGGTGAAAATCCATGTTTTCTTTTTTAAAAAGCAGGTTAAGCTGGGCAGTAGTGGTGGTGGCGCACACCTTTAATCCCAGCACTCAGGAGGCAGAGGCAGGCAGATCTCTGTGAGTTCGAGGCCAACCTGGTCTACTGAGCTCCAGAACAGCCAGGGCTACACAGAGTAACCCTGTCTCTAAGACACAAACAAACAAACAAAAAAACCATAAAACAAAACAAAACAAAAAACGGTTGAACAGCAATCCAAGCCAAAGACAAGACCAAGAGAGACCCCACTATTCCTCCAAGTGTGTTTCAGTTAAAGTATTGTGATTTTATTTTCCCTTGTAACAGAGTCATAACTTTTCTGAAGTTTTGATATACTAGTAATACTGTTTTCTAGAAAGTAATCCCCAAGGCCTGCTTTCCTCTGATGTCATTAGATGGTTTTCAAAACTGAATTTTCACTTTAGACATTTCTCATGCTTTTTAAAACAGTATGGGAGCCCCTGGCAAGTGTAAAGGAAACCTGGAAGTATAGAGAAATTTCTGAGACAGAATTTCTTTGTCACTTCTAATTCCCAAATTCTGCTTACAAGAGAAAAAAAAAATCTGAAAAATGTTTTTGTTTGGAGCAGACAATACTTTTTTTCCCCCCAGAGACAGGTAGTTTTGGTGTCTTTCCTGGAACTCACTCTGTAGCCCAGGCTGGTCTCCAATTCACAAAGGTGTACCTGCCTCTGCCTCCCGAGTGCTGAGATCAAAGGCGTGCGTGGCTGCTAGAGCAGACAATACTTTAAGACTACTGCTAATTCATAGGGATGGAGAGACAGGACAGTGGTAAAGAGCACTTACTCTGGCAGAGGACTCAAATTCTGTTCCTATAAAGGATGGCTCACAACCACCTGTAACTCCAGGTCCAGGGGATCCAATACCATCTTCTGATCTCTGAGGGCACTTTTACCCACCTGTACATATCCACACACAGACACAGACACAGACACAGACACAGACACAGACATACACACACACACACACACACACACACACACACACACACACACACACGCTAGTTAAAAATGGGATGTCTTTCTGTACGCTGTGAATAGTGTTGCTCTGATTGGTTGATAAATAAAGCTGCATTGGCCTGTGGCAGGGCAGGATAGGTTAGGTGGTACATTCAAACTGAAGACAAGATGAAGAAAAGTGAAGTCGGGGGAGACTCGAGCTTGAGGCCCAAGGAGCAACAAGGTGCCAGCAGACCGGTAACGCCATGGCCACGTGGCAACATATAGGTTAATAAAATGGGTTGAGTTAAGTTATAAGAGCTAGCTAGCAAGAAGCCTGACCCATAGGCCATATAATTTTGTAGGGCCCTGCCCGCCCCCCCTCCCGTTTTGGGTAGCTGTTGCCTTGCTTGCTGACCTTAACCTTGATGTCCTTCCTATGCTAATCCCCTGCCAGTTTCCTCCTTCCTGAGGTTCTTTGTGTATTCTGCATTTGGTGTAAACAGCTTAGATGCCAGAATGTAAAACATCGGTAGGGTTCTCCCATTGTGCTGTAAGCCTGTATTTAAGGTTTCCTTCCTTCTTCAATAAACGACATTCTGCACTCTGCTGAGGCGAATGACCCGCCGTCTCTTGTCTCTGTTTTTTGATCCACAGCCCCTCACTCGGACATGGCATGGTGAACGGGTGGTGGTAGCGTGGGCGTTACCGCTACATAATTTACAATTAATATTAAGCCTCTGAGTGATTATTTTATAAGCAGCTTCAGGACCTCGGGGCTGGGTGGGACTGGAGAAACTTACGGCTACAATACATCATTAAAAACTATTGCTAATTCAATGTTAAATTCTAAGCTTAAATTTTGACACACTAAAAAAATACATAAATATTGCTCCACCAGTTATTTTCCTTCCTTCCTTCCTTCCTCCCTTCCTTCCTTCCTTCCTTCCTTCCTCCCTCCCTCCCTCCCTCCCTCCCTCCCTCCCTCCCTCCCTTCCTTCCTTCCTTCCTTCCTTTCTCTTTTTCTTTCGAGACAGGGTTTCTCTGTGTAGCCTTGGTTGTCCTGGAACTCATGCCATGGACCAGGCTGGCCTCGAACTCACAGAGATCCGCCTGCCTCTGCCTGCTGAATGCTGGGATTAAAGGCATGTGCAGCCACCACAGCTTGACCTAGCCATTTTTAGAAAATTTACTATTTTCTAATAGTAAATACTCGAATCCTCCCACATACCATATTGTTGTTTTGTTCGCTTGTTCATGTTTTTGTTTTCCGCACTGGGCATTGAGACAGCAGCCTTGCAAGTGGCAGCCGCACTCTCCCCCTCCCCCCAAGTACTTCCTCTTCCGTTGTCTCTCTTTTGTTTCTCTTTTCTTTTTAAATCTGAGACAGGGTCTTGGCTATTATAGTGGTAAAACACCATGACCAAGGGAACCTATGGAACAGTCAGCGGTTCTCGACCTTCCTAACACGGCGACCCTTGAATGCACTTCCTCACGGTGTGGTGACCCCCAACCATAACATTGTTTTGTTGCCACTTCACAACTGTAACTTTGCTACGGTTATGAATCATAACATAACATCTGATATGCAGTCCCTATGAAAGTGTCATTTAACCCCCTGTAGGGGTGACAACTCGCAGGTTGGGAACCGCTGCTAAAGGAGGAGTTTGCTTGGGCTTGGAGTTCTAGAAGGTTAGAGACCGTGGCGGCTGAGCAAAGGCAGAGCAAGAAGCTGAGGACACATCTTTTACCACAAGATAAAGCAGAGAAAAGGAGCTCAAGATATCCTGAGTCTTCAAACTCTCAAAGCCCAGTTCCGGTGACACCCTGTCTCCCCTGAAACTCCCAAACTCCCAAACAATGTCTGTTGGCATTCAGACCCACCCCTTGGGGACCCGCCCAGCATCCTGACATGGGTCCCCTTTAAGAAAAAACTGCTCCCTCTCTTCTTTCCCCTCTCTCTGGCTCTGAAGTAGTGTGTGCACTTCCTCTCTTCCTTCCTTTTTCTCTTTCTTTCCTTTCCTATCCTCCTTTCTCCCTGCCCCCTAGTAAAACTTTCCACGTGGATGCTGTGTCTGCATGGTGTGAGTAACTCTCCACCACGTCACGCTGCCGCCAGCCTCGTCTGCGTGGTGTGTCTCCTCTACCCGCTGTGCCCCTTGGCTCCACCCACCAAGGCCTCTGGTGTACTGTTTTACAACAATGTCATCAATTAGGGACCAAGTATTCAAATCCTGAGACTACAGGGGGCATTGCTCATTCAGAACATCACATCCACTTCCTGGCCCTCATAGTCTTGTGGATGTGTGATAACGCAAAAATACACATAGTCCAACTTTAAAACTCCTCATCGTCTCTTACACTTGCAATACTGTTTTAAAACCCAAGGTTCAGAGTCTCTTTCAAGACTCAAGGCAGTCTCTTCTCTCTAAGCCCCTGTAAAATCAAAACACAACTTACATACGTTCCACATGCAATGGCACAGAATATAAATTAACATTCCGAAAAGAAGGAAGGGGGGCACAGTGAGGAAATAGTGGACCAAAGGAAGACTGAAGCCCGGGAGGGAAACGTCCAAGCCTTGTGGCTCCATGTCTGGTGTCAAAAGGCTCAGATGGCTCTGCCCTTCAGGTGCTGCTGGCTATAACCTGCTTCTCTCTCTTGGTCCGGTTCCATTCCCCCTGTAGAGCGTTCCTCAGCAGATATCTCAAAGCTGTGGCATCTCCAACATCTTGGAGGCTCCACTGCAAACCGGGCTTCGTTTCTACAACTTCGCACAATGACCTCTCGGGGTCTCTCTCCACGCAGGATATCCCCCACACATTACCTGGCCTCAAGAGCTGTCGGAAACCATGGAGGAAGATTCCACTACCCATTTACTCTTGCATCCTTGCCACGAGGAGGACGCCGCCAAGCTCGGCTGCCAGCTTGGGCTGGACTCTGTTCACTTGAATCACGTTTGCAGCAGCGTTTGTTGGTTGTTCCTTTCTGGGAGAAGACGATTTTTCTTCCGCAAGTGGGAAGCTTAGGTGAGTGGGATTTTAATGAGGGCAACCTTTGGTTTATTCCAGTGCAGACTAGGCCTTTGCCTAAAACAATAATCTTAACGGCTGCAGCCTCTCTCCCAGCACAGGCCTTGGCTGTAATATTAAACTTATCAGTGACTTTCCCCTCTCCTAATAGCACATTTTGTACAACATTTTGTATTTTTTTTCTCTCCCCCATTTGCTATTTTTCACTGTAGACCTGCATAAGAGTGATTACCAATAACCACACGACAACGATGCTAGTACTAGGCTGTCTTGAAAGCTCCTCCACCAAATAAGTTAGACTACTTTTAAATCTAGTCCCAGACATTCTTGGGACATGGACTGAAGGAGGCCTCATTCTTTGCCAAAAATTCACAAGAATGATCTCTGTCCCAGCAGCTGATTTGGTTTTCCTCTGAAACCTTCAGCTGGGCCTCCACAGTCTGTGTAGCTCCGAGCCCCACTGTCCTCCAAGCTCCTGCTATGAGGGCTTACTAAGCTTTGCTTTGAGTGTTCAACTGGTTTTTCCAGTTCAAAGTTCAAAATGTCCTGTTTACGGTTTCTAGTGCCGTCCTATCACACCATAACTGGACATCAAATTGGGGAGGAAAGGGTTAATTCGCTTAGACTTCCAGGTCATCCTCCATCACCAAGGAAACTCAGAGCAGGAACTCCAGCAGGGCAGGAACCTGGAGGCTGGAGCTACTACAGAGGCCATGGAGGGATGCTGCTTCCTGGCTTACCTCCCCTGGCTTGTTCAGCCTGCTTTCTTATAGAACCCAGGACCACCAGCCCAGGTTGGCACTGCCCACGGTGAGCTGGGCCCTCCCACTTCAATTGTCAGTCCAGTGGACATTAAGCTAGCCAGCACACAAAGCCTTCTACGTTCCCCATAAAAGCTACACGGCTGGGTCTGTTGCTGCAATAGCCCACTCTCTATTACCGATTTCTGTATTAGTTACTTTCTACTGCCGTGATCAAACACTGTGATCAAAGCAACTTGTAGAAGAAGAAGGCTGTTTGGTGTATACTTCCGGAGGTTTAGAGTCCAGGATGGCTGAGCGAAGGCCACAGCATCAAGGGCAGGAAGCTGAGGGTCACATCTTGAACAGCAAATATGAAGCCGAGAGAACAAATATAAAATGGCATGAATCTTTTAATTCTCAAAGCCTGCCTTCGATGACGTACCTTCACCAACAGGGCCACACCTCCTAAACCTTTCAAACGATACTGTCCAAGTATTCAAATGTCCGAGACTATGGGGGACAGCTCTCACTGAAATTATTATGGTTACCCTTGATCTCACTGTAGCCCAGGCAGTCCTGGAACCTCTGATTGAATTCTGCCTTCTGAACAGTTGGGATTACAGGTATGTACCTCCAGGCCTGGCGCCACCTCACTTTAACAAGGTTTCAATTAATACCCAGTCTCACCCAGTGATAATATAATTTGTGGCCAGGCAGTGGTGGTGCACACCTTTAATCCCAGCACTTGGGAGGCAGAGGCAGGTGGATCTCTGTGAGTTCAAGGCCAGCCTGGTCTACAGAGTGAGATCCAGGACAGCCAAGGCTACACAGAAAAACCCTGGCTAGAAAAACTTAAAAAAAAAAAAAAGCCTTTCTGATCTTCCACTGTGCAGTAGGAATGCTAACACTGAATGCCATATTCACCGTGATGCTGTGAGGATTATCGATGTCTGTAAGGGATCCCAGCAGGGCCTAAAAGGCTTGTAAAGGCTTAAAAGTTTATTAATTCATTTTTCACCTTCCTTCATTTATTCCACCAGTACAAATCAATCTGGAGATTAAAATAGAAGTAACTGATGTGGTTTCAGATGGTGGTTTTTTTTTTTTAGCGTTAGAGCATTTCTGGGAGCTCCATGTGTTATGTGTCCTTTGCATATACAAATTTCTGAAAGTATTCTTCAACCCAAATAAACCTGTTTTTATTTTGATGACCGTGTGACTGACTCAGATATATTTGGAGAACTGAATTACATGCGGAAGAAAGTCGATTCTGAAAAGCCAGCTCTACCTTGAAGGTGTTCTCCGTAGGAAGACAGTAAGATGGCATTTTCCTGCGTTCAGCGTTTTACTTAACTCCTGAGGCAAACCATGGCGATTCTCTTTTCCTGCCTGAAGCCTCCCTCTTGCCCTCAGGTTTGGGCTTCAGTCTTAAGCCTGGCTTCCCTCAGTTGAGTTTTGTTGTGTCCTCGGCTCCCACTGGTGAGCATCACTTCCGGGGCGCGCAGGTGCCGGCAAGCACCGCAGAGTGTCGGCTGAGATGCGGGAGGCGGCCCTAGGGTGCTGCGCAGCGGTCCTGCAGTTTCCGCTTTAGTTCTCCAACAGCAGCGCTGGGGGCCGCCCCCCTTCCTCCACAGCCTCTTTGTGAGATGGGAAGCATGGGGCCTGTCGTTTGCATTCCAGATTGAAAGGAACAGAATTCAGAGTTTTCCTCCTTTTTTGGTGCCATGACAAACCAAATGACAGGAGACGGATTTATTCTTTGGAAAAGTACACCAGTACCAGTTCCAGGGGGGAAAAGCCTCCCTCGTTTTGACTTGTAGTCATTTTTGGGCACTGCTACTCCCACTTTGACAGAGAATGTTTTTAATCAGATGGAGGATGGTAGGTTGTGTGTGGCATGGAAAATACAATTTCTTTCCCCTCCCCCTCGGCTTTCGCCAGGCAGTAAATTCCCCAATGGAACCTGTACAGCAGCAATTGCCTGGTTGGGCCAAGAGGATGGCTCGGTGTGTGAAGGAACTTGTCACCGAAGTTTCAGGACCAAACTTCAATCCTGGGGACCCACATAGTAGAAGGAGAGAACCAACTTCTTCAAGTTGTTCTTTGACCACACCCCTCCACCAGCACACACACACACACACACACACACACACACACACACACACACACACACACGCACACACGCACGCACGCACGCACGCACGCGCGCACACACAAACAAAAACTAAAATGCAATAAAAGCTTAAAAAAGAAAATTCTTGGGACTGGAGAGATGGTTCAGCTGTTAAGAGCACTGGTGTTCTTCCAGAGGACCTGGGTTCAATTCCCGGCACCCACATGGCAGCTTACAACTGTCTGTAACTCTACCTCCAGGGGATCTGACACCCTCACACACAGACATCCATGCAGGCAAAACACCAATGCACATAAAATAAAAAAGAAAAAGAAAATTCCTGGTGTTCGAGGCCAAGACTTTGTGCTACGGCATGTGTGATGCAAACCTGTGGTAGGCAGCCCTCTTAATCTTGGCTTCTGGGGTTCCGCCTTCTGCGTAGTACACACATCCCGGGCAATTGTGGCTTCCTGAAGGGTCAAGATCATTGGATACAGAGTTATTTGAGGCAGACATGGTGACATATACCTGTAATTCTAGGATTCTGGGGGCAGAGAAAGGAAAACCATTGCAAGTTTGAGGCTAGCCTGGTCCACATAGCAACACTCTGTCTTAAAAGGACAAAAAAGTAAGAATAAAGGCTCAGCTGTTACGAGCACTAGCTGCTCTTCCAGAGGACCGGGATTCAGTTCCCAGCACCCACGCGTGTGGAAAGCTGCATTGAGAAGGGCAAGTCTCAGATGAGCAGAATGAGCTATCCGAGGTGTGTGGTGGCAGAGGCCCACGTTTTTTCATGTCATGTTTGTTCCCTGACTCTGACCCAGGAGAACAGGAGCCTCCCAGGCCAGGATCCTGCACAGTCTGAAGAAAGGCCTCACTAGTGAGATGTCAGCAAGTGTAGCGCTGCAACCCTGGGCAGACCTGGGCCCTGGGGGAAAGATTGTTATGTCGGCGCGGCAGTAAGAGGGCGAGCCAGGAGTGGCCGGAAGGAGAAAGGTGATTCCCATGGTCTGGGCCAACGAAGGGTTTTGGACAGGAAAGGGAACTCATAACACAGCACACTTGACAGGAATTGTTTAAGGCTTTAAACCCTTGCCAAGTAACACGAGACTGGCCCTATAAGTATTTTAGCTATATATAGGGTGTAACCTGAAAATGCCTCCTTCTGCGGCGCTCACGCTTTTGAACTGACAGTGCCCCCCTCCAGGGAGGATAGAGTGGGGGGATGGGGTCCTGTTAGAGACAGACAAAAGTAGGGGGGCACTGCCTTTGAAGAATTTCCTCCCTTTTCATGCCTGGGGTGTAACCAGAGACCAGTGTCAACAAAAGATCCCGCTTGGGAAAGCTTTTGTGTGCAGCTCTCTTTGGGGGGGGGGGTATGACTCGCTTTCTCAGAGGTCAATGAATTGTAAATTGTATAAGTTTATGCTCTCCTGAACTCCAGGGGAGTGAGTGCTTCTGAGAGGGTGTGGGTGGGAGAGGGGTGGGTGGTGTCCCTCAAAGACATCCTGGAAACTTGTCTGTTAAGACCAGACCTGGCCACAAGAAATCCTCCCACTTGGAAGAGAGCAGGAAATGTATGTGGGTTTGGATGTTCACATCTGAATTTGCTCTAGCAAATCAATCCGTATTAAATTTCGAAAATAAGGTACCATGGCAAGTTCAGAGACGGCAAAGATGGTAAAATCAGTTATTTGGTCTGACTGATTAAGCTCCTGCAGTAGTTAGAGCTACTTATGTGCCTCCCTCAAGCACCTACTTTAGCTGGTTCTTAATCACTCTGTGTGTGTGTGTGTGTGTGTGTGTGTGTGTGTGTGTGTGTGTGTGTGTGTGTTGGGGGAGGGGTGTGGTCAAAGATGAGACTGACATCTCCATTGTTCTTCTCCTTATTCACTGAGGGAGGGTCTCTCAGTTGAACCCAGAGCTCACCGATTCTGCTGGTCTAGCTAGCTTGAGATCCTTTCTCCCCTTTCCACATGCCAAGATTACAGGCAGACCCCCATGCCCACCTGGCACTGACCTGGGTTCTGGGGATCTGAACTCCAGTTTTCATGCTTTGTCCACTAAGCCATGTCCTTGCCTCCCTGCCCCCCCCCCCCGTCCCCATCCCCCCCAATAACTCCAATCATTTTTGATCTATATTTCCTCACCCTCCAAAGTCCTTCACCCTCTGGCTTGGCAAAGGATGTGACACTAGTGCTTGACGGGCGTTTGTCCCATTCAAGGCACTGTACTGAATACTCAAGACACAGAGCAGGACAGAGGTCTAGGCTTTCCCCCGCTCAGAACGTATAATCTGTGTTGGAGGAAAACAGGCTGCAAAGCAAGCCAGTGACGTCATTGATCGGTAGTTGGTACACACTACCTAGAAACGGAAGGGAAATCCAGGAGGTAGAGGTGGCATCTTTCGGGAAATGGGGCTGCAGCCTAGTGAGGGAGCACGTACCTGCTTCCAACTGAAGGTTGCTCTAGACGAGGGGGTGGGGTGAAGGGACAGTGGGGGAAGTACAGTTGACGGGAATCTGTTGCTGCAGACCTGGGGCCCTCGTGGGTCACTGCAAAGACTGAATTTCCTTGTGGGTGAGATGGGAAGCCTCTAGAATGTCTTCAGAAGTGAGATGAACGTTTTGGCTGGTGTTTTAAAAATAAATCCAAGGGGGCAAAGATGGGAGCCGAGAAACAGGATACAGTGATCTACGCAAGAGGTGATGGTGGCTGGGTCTAGAGATTTTCCAGATCTGAAGTGTTGGGGAAGGACAGCTGGCAAGATTTCCCGCTGAGTGGAATTCTAAGCAGGAAAGAAACAAAGGTGAGTCAGCACCTTACCCCTGAGCAGGGAGATGGTGGAGACTGACCCCCACCCTTTTCTCAAGGTCACTGTCAGCAATCCAGTTTCACCCAGATCTGGAGAAGAAAACAAGAACAACATTCTGGCTAACGTGGTTAACTCATGGGTTCTTCTGGGTGAACAGAAGCCGAGGAGTCAGCCCTAGACTCTGGGCTCCTTCAGGCAGGGCTCAGGAGGAATTTGGATGCCACAAAGGGAGATCAGGCCAGAGAGAACTGTGAGAAGAATTGGGTCCTGGTTTGGCGGGTGTGTGTTTCCAGAGCCGTGGCTTCTGCCAGCAGAACAATATCGTTTATCCTTCCATCTGCTGAGCGTTTATGCTACTCCACTGTGATAGCTGCTTTCTTCTAAGATGAATAAAATCCTGCCTGGGAGAAATTCTTATAGTGTGCTCGAATGATGGGTATACAGGATGCTATGGTAGTCCAGATTGAAAGCCCTCTTCTGTGTGTGTGTGTGTGTGTGTGTGTGTGTGCACAAAGGAGAAGTCACTTGATGGCTTGTCTGGTTCACCTCAATTCCTCATTTCTGGAGCCATGTGACCATAATCTCTGGTCAGAGACCATGTGAAGAGTCCTAATATGTTAGAGAGAGTCCCCGGGTTAGTCTCGTTGTCCCTAGCAGTGATAACTCTCTTAACCATTTTGTAAACCTTCTCTTGCACTCTGGTTCCAGCTGCTAAGGAACTTTTCTAGTTTCAAAGCTGTTGACTTTCAGAGGTTCTTTGTGTTTTTCTCATCTAAAGCCCGGACTTTGGAGAAAATCCCACTTCCCCTTCTCTGTACCAGTCTTAACAACATTTTACAAACGAGGCCGAGGGAAGTTAAGTAATTTGTCTAAATTCACATAGCTAGAGAAGGAAAAGGCACTGAATTTTCACCCAATATTCAAAGCTCTGGCTGGTTCGGTCTTACTGAATGTATCCCTTCAAAACTCATATGTGGAAATCCTAGGTGAAAAATTGAGGATGTAGAGCCTTGAGGAGGTAGGTGATTAGGCCATGAGGCTGGAACCCTTAGGACTGGGATTGGTGCCCTTTCTAACAAAAGAAACCAGAGAGAGTGGCCCACTTCACCATGTGAGAGGACAGTGACGTCCACCAGTTATGATGGAGCCGGCACTTAACGGATACTGCCGGGATCTTGATCTTTGACCTCCTGTCCTTCAGAATTATAAAAAATACTTTTCTGTTGTTTATTTATCCTCAAGTGTCTTATTGTAGTAGCTTTCAGATGGCCATGTCTAAAATAGTCATAACTTCTTAAACTCAGAGTTTTCTAGGAGGAAAGACAAAATACTTGCTTTGTCATTTTAGAAGCTTTTGGTTTTTGTTTTTTAACTAAGGTCCTGTTTGTCCTTTTAGTCTATGCTCATTTCTGCCTCTAAGGTGTGTGTGGTATTTTAAAAGTGAATATAGTTTGTTTTTTCAAGTCTAAAGTCTCATATATGAGCTTTTGTGATCATGTCTGTATTTTAATTAATTAACTAATTAATTAAAGTGTGTGTGTGTGTGTGTGTAGACCTGTATGTGCCATGGCATGCATATGGAGATCAAAGGACAATCTTTGGGAATCCATTGTCTCCTTCCACTCGGTTAAGGCTGGATCTTTCTTGTTTCTGCTACTGAGCTGATTGCCTTAGTCAGTGTTCTATTGTAGTGGGTAGCCATTCCATCTTTGGTCTGGAAGTTCCAACCCCCATTGAGGCTTTGGTAACTATCACGCCCAGGGAGGACCCTGAAGACCTGAGATCCGGACTGCCACGCACTCTCTCTTGCGGCTGTGAGCCCGGACACTAGAGGTGAATGGAGGAGAGTTCTCCAGAGAACATCGCCGGACTACTGCTGCATCTTTCCCAGAACCCTCAACCTACCTATCCCTTCATTTGTAAGTTGCGCCATTAAATAAATCTCCTTTTATGTACGTGGAGTGGCCTTAATAATTTCACCAATCCCTGGCACCCAACGTGGGGCAAATTCCAAAGGCCTGGGTGGCTCCCTCCCTCAGCCTCCTCCCCGGCTGGCAGGTACCTAAACTAGGCTGCAAAGTTCCATATAACCAGGGAATGCCTACATGGTTCCATTCCCAAAAAAGGGAGCAGCTAGTCCGATCTCAGTTCCCTAGCTTAGCCCCGAGACCAGCGAAATACCGCTGTGAGTGAGGCATTCCCCTGCTCCCTGAGTGCCGCCTCCGGCTCCCCGCCATCTGGATTCCTGAATTCAGCTGCAGTCAGCCAAGGTCACCAGCAGGCCCCCTTTTGCTGTGAAGAGACACCATGACTGCAGCAACTCTTATAAAGGAAAACATTTAATTGGGTGGCTTACAGTTTCAGAGGCTTAGTCCATTATCATCACAGTGGGATATGGCGGCATGTAGGCAGACATGGTGCTGGAGAAGGAGCTAAGAGTTCTACATCTGGATCTTCAGGAAGAGACTGAGACACACTAGGTCTGGCTTGAGCTTCTGAGACCTCAAAGTCCACCCCCCAGTGACACACTCCCTCCAACAGTGCCACACCTACTCTAACAAGGCCACACCCACTAGCGCTAGTCTCTATGAGCCTAGGGGGCCATTTTAATTTAAACTACTACATTCTACTCCCTGGCCCCCACAGGCTTATAGCTATAACATAATGCAAATTGCATTTACTCCAACTTCAAAAGTCCCCATAGTCTATTAACTCAAGACTGTTAAAAGTTGAAAGTCTCTTCTGACATTCATGCAGTCTCTTAACTGTAATCCCCCGTAAAATCATAATAAAAAAGCAGATCACATACTTCAACATACAATGGCATGGGATATACAATTCCAGTCCAAAACATAGGAAATACTGGACAAAACAAGACCAAAAACCAGCTGGGTAAACTCCAAACTCTGCCTCTCCATATCTGATGTCAAAATGTTCTTCAGATCTCCAATTCATTTCAGCTTTGTTGACTGCAACACACTTCTTTCTCTTGGGCTGATTCCACTCCCTGTTAGCAGCTCTCCTTGGCAGGTATCCCATGACTCTGTCATCTCCAACATTTTGGGGTCTCCAAGGCAATCCAAGCTTTACCTTTACAGCTTCACACAATGACCTCTCTAGACCTCCATTCAGGGACACCGCTGCCACATGCCTGGCCTCAGCAGCTTTCCTTAATCACAGAGGGAGATTCCATAACTCCTTTCTTCTATCCCTGACTCTAAAGCCAGAACCACATGACCAAAGCTGCCAAGTTCTGCTGCTTGCTGGGACTGACTTTAGAGCCCTCTTTTTATTCACAAAGAACTAAACAGTAGTGCAGCTCATTCCATTACTTAGCTCCCATAACATTAATAAGCATTTCAAAAGAGAGCAAAGTGGACTTCTATATCATCAATCTCTATAAAGTATATTATATTTTAACTTTTTATTTTTTCAATCTTTTATATGTTATATTTCAATCTTTTTGCTTTTCTGTGTATCGTCTATCATGTTTTTCTGTGTTAAGTATATAATGTCTGTATATTGTATGCATAGCTGTATCCATAAGACACACATATAAAATCCAGAACTGATTAAAATATGCATGTTTTATAAATAACTTTTAAAACCTTTTTATTGATTAGTCCAAAACGTTCAGAGACTATTATTTAGGATTAGCTCTTGAAGCCAGGTGTGTTGGTCACATCTGTAATCCCAGGGAGTAAAAATAGGAGGACGGGACAAAGAAGACATTCTCAGCCGCATCCGGAGTTTGAGGCCAGCCTAGGCTAATGAGACCCTGCATTAGAAAACAAACAAAACGACAAGGTTAGGACTTGAACTTGCCTTCTAGGCTTTGCCGCTTTGGATGAATTGGTCTTAGTCTACAGCACTATCCCATTCCTTTTATAATGTCATCTGTCTATTGAGTTCATAATATTTATCACAGATTATAACCATACATTAACTTTTCTGTTTACTTGTTGTTTTAGGGTTCCTATTGCTGTGGAGAAATTCCATGACCCAAAAGCATGTTGGAGAGGAAAGTGTTTTTCTTCTGCTTACATTTCCACAGTACTGTTCATCATCGAAGGAAGTCAGGGCAGGAACCTGGAGACAGGGACCGATGGAGAGGCCGTGGAGGGGTGCTGCTCACTGGCTTGCTCACCTTGGCTTGTTCAGCCTGCTTTCTTATAGAACCCAGGACCACCAGCCCAGGGATGGCACCACCCACAATGGACTGGGTCCTTCCACATCAGTCATGATTAAGAAAATGCCTTACAGCCTGATCTTATGGAGGCATTTTCTCAATGGAGGTTCCCTCCTTTCAGATAACTCCAGCCTGTATCAAGTTGACATAAGACCAGCCAGCCCACTTGCTTACTAGATTATAAACTCCAGGAGCATAAAATTTATGCTTATCTTCTTTACCAGTAACATATAGAGTCTAGGATGGCATGTAGCAACCAATATTTATTAAAGAGATAGATCATATGTTTCAAAGTAAGATGGACCTAGTGTAGTAGCGCTCCTCCAAGATGGTCTCCAACAAACCCACATCCTGGTACTCATTCTTCTGTGTAGTTCCCTGGATCCCTGTCTCTCAGCAGCTGCATTTTGTAACAATGTCTGTTTGGTCTTTTAAGCTGCTTAGTTTGGGGTCATTTGTTACTCAAGGATAGCTAACTAATACACTTGGATTTCAATGCCAGCATAAACTTTTATTTACAATGTATACATATAATTTAATCTCTAGGGGCTTGTTTCCCTTCTTTCAAAATGGTTTTTTTTTTTTTTTTTTTTTGGTTTTTTCGAGACAGGGTTTCTCAGTGTAGCTTTGTGCCTTTCCTGAATCTCGCTCTGTAGACCAGGCTGGCCTCGAACTCACAGAGATCCGCCTGCCTCTGCCTCCCGTGTGCTGGGATTAAAGGCGTGCGCCACCACCGCCCAGCTTCAAAATGGTTTTAATATATATATTTACAGTGCTGCTGAAGCATAATCCCAAGTGTAATTTCTTAATGCCCTTTTACTTTTAAAATGGCTATGATTAGGTGAAGTGGATTTATGATACTCTGCCTCACTTCAGGCTCAGAGCAAAGAAGTCCAAAGGCTGTGGATCAAAACTTTTGGAAACCATGAACCAAAACAAATCTTTCTTCCTTTCATAGGATTACCTCAGGTATTTTGTTACAGTGATTAAAAAGCTCACTAATACAAAGTCTGGCGATGCTGGTCTAGGTCCATGAGTCACAGTTCCCAGTCACCTGTGTGATCCCAAGGGGAAGCCACCAGGACTGGCCAGCATATGGTGTTGCTAACTCAGGGTGTTTGGTGAGTTGAGTATATTCAGTGTGTCTTTTAACTTCTGTGGGTTTATTGTGATGTAACCCATTGTCAGGCAAAGAGAATATGTATTCACTTTGGCTCTCTTTATGTTTTTCAGAACAGTTTTATACAATGTACCCCATCACACTCACTTCCCATTCCTCCCAGGTCTACCCTTCCACCCTTGCATCCCCTTCCCCAAAAAACAAACAAACAAACAAACAAAACAAAAAAACAAAAAGCAAAAAAAAACCCAAAAACAAACAAACAAACAAGCAAACAAACAAACAAAAAAACCCCAAAACATCGAGTCTAATTTGTGTTGCCTATGTACTCATTGGAGCATGGTCAAACTCCCAGTGACCAGGTCCTTAAAGAAAACCCAGTCCTTTCCCACCCTACCTCCAGAAGCCATCAACTGTGAAGAGCTACATGTCAGCCTCTTTATTATAATTTTTAAGGACTTTTTTCAGTAGCTTCCTATCTGGACTGTTTCTTTTTTTGGCGGGGGGGGGGGGTGTCTCACAGAAGCCGTATAGTGTCTCTCATTCAAAGTTATGTCTGCAGTCATCAATAACACTGTAAAAGAAGCTTCCTTGCCCGTAGTAGCCAGGGGCAGCACCGATCATGGGCATCAACATTGTTTCCAGTGGTAGCTCAGATCTCAGACATCAACATGCCCTCCAGCAGCAGCATGGACCAGGAAATCAGTAGGCAGCACAGATTATGGCTTACGGTGGTGGCAGCATGCACCATGGAAGTCTTTCGAGGAGACTTAATCAAGAAAATGAATCATTCTTCATCTCAGGGTGATGGTGTGGTTGGGCAGCGTGTCTGGGGGCAGGACCTGTGCAAGCTCAGTATGCCTTACACCACCCTTGCCCTCAGCGCCTGCCACCCTGCCTCTACCTGGGGCACGACCACTGCATTTGAAGCCTGTGGGTAGCACCGGGGCCCATGCTCTCTTTCCTGCAGCAGGCAGGCGAACATCAGGAGTTGCAGCAGCAGCAGCAGCAGCAGTATCTCCAAGCTTTGGGCTGGGCCTGCGGGTAGAGTGGTAGCATCCCGCATTAGCAGGCCACAACAGGGCGAGGCTGGTCGGTGGTGGCCCAGCCTCCCAGAGGCCCAAGGACCAGCTCTGCTCAGCCACAGCATGCTCCTTTGCCCACAGCGGCCACACTCCCATACCGGTCCCCATTTGCTGCGTTTCTAGTTTCCCTTCTCTCCTCTGGGCTTGCACATCGCTCTGTTCTGCCATCATTTTCCCGACGTCATGAAATGAAACGACTTTTTAAAAGCACCTTCCCATCTTTTATTTATTTATTTAGGTTGTTCCAGAGATGCTGTATACTGTGTGTTTTGCAGGCTTAGTCTCTTCTGCTGCTGCATCTTCCCAGGAGAAGCCTCCGTGGATCTCTCTGGCTCCTCAGAGCCGCCCTCCCCTCTGAGGCCTCGAGGTTGCTGGTGGCCGCCACCATCTTGAATCTATTCAAATTGTCACCTTCTTAGGGAGCTCTTTTCTACCTGATCAAGCTGTGTTCCATTACACTTCCCACTCGTCTAATTTATTCTCTTTACGTCCCTTAGTATGTCCTAGATCGCCTTTTTGCCATGT